ATAAACATTGATTGATTGATTGATTGAAAACACGTCGCGCATTGTTTCTGATAGCAACGTTTCTGATAGGGCCGTTTCTGATAGGGCCGTTTCTGATAGTTCCGTGGGTCCACATTTCCGATATTACATCATATCGGACGCAAATCTGGATCAGCTCCATTGTGCCCCCGTTTTTAGAGATTTGGGTACGGAGGAAAAGAGAGATGGTTTTATTTTCTGACACTTTGTGAGTTCCCTGACACACCGGGGACACATATTCATGTATAAATTACATCAAAAAGTGCATTTTGCATGATAGGTCCCCCTTAAAGGCTGTGATGCCACAGTATGTGGTATACTTATAGATATAAGTAAGGTTGTAATTTGAACATGCTTTGAATGGATCTGATTGTAAGATCGTGACAGCTTCACGCTCTACAATTGTCCTTTGCTTCGTTTAAGAGGTTTGTCCTGATGAGCTCCTCTCCAGAGGGCTTTCTTCTAATGAGATACTGTGATGAGAGACGGAGACGGCTCAAGGGCGTGATTGATGTCTTCGATAGGGGCTTTATGTGTGTGTGAGTGTGTGCCAAATAAGATGAGTGACACTTTCTCATCTGTGAAAGCGAGACAGAAGACAAGCCTGCGAGTTTAAGACTTCCTCCGTCTTAATACATCCATTAATATATGATTGTGAGCTTTTATTTGTTTCTGTACAAACAATTTAGCATCCCCAATGTTTAATGAGAGCGTCACAGGCAGACAGTCTGGTGTGTGAGCGCGCATGCATACGTGAGTAATCACGCCTCAGTGAGTGTATAATGTGTGCAGATTTCTGGCAGAGTGGGACGGTTTGAGCCCACCTACTGTGTGTTCACACTTCTAAAAATATACCAGGAAGGCATATTTATTATACAAGCAAGAAAGCATATTTATTATACGTGTGCCTGTTGGTAAGTTTGTCTCTTGAGTGGGCTTCCAGGCGAGTCCAATCTCTCCTCCAAAACCCTGGAATCACTGTCTTTCAGAGGCAGGAGGTCACATCGCTCACACAGAGACAGAAACAGAGAGACAGATGGAGAGAGAGGGAGGATGAAGAGGACGAGAGAGAGAGAGAGAGAGAGAGAGAGAGAGAAGAGAGAGATGAAGAGAGAGAGAGAGAGAGAGAGAGAGAGAGAGGAGAGAGATGAGAGAGAGAGAGAGAGAGAGAGAGAGAGGAGAGGGGGGGGCTGGAAACACTTCCTTGCCTATAGGGCCTCTGGGACAAATTACACCAAAGAAGGGATGTCAGTTATGTGTTGCTTTAACGGTGCACATACATTTCATATCGAAAGTCTGCAGGAGAGCGCTGAAGGAAATCAGATAATAGAATGTCCTGTGAACTTCCAAAAGCCTGTCTTCCTCCTCGGACTAACTTTGTTGCTATGGAGATGGTCCAGTAAGGGTCTCGACTTCTGTATATTTTGGGGTACAGAATTTCAGGGACTGAAACAAATTTCAGGGACTAAAAAATAAACTAATTCAGTCTTTTTTCTATTGAAAAAGTGTTTGGGCATTTCTTCTTTCTTGTACAGTATGGTGCAGCAAAAAGGATAGAAAGGAGAAAGGAGTGGAGGCAACAGAGGGTGTGAGAAAGATTATAAAAACACTGAAGAGCGTAATGAGCAAAGATATGATACTTTTCCTATGCCTGTTAATATACTTTTCCCTTAAAGTGCAACAATGTTTCTAAAATCATAAAGTGCATGGTTGCCATTGAGGAATCTTCACCGTGAACTGAAGTGCAAAGTGCAAACCTTATTTTGATCAGAAGCTTCTCGTGAGCTCTGCAGAAAGCAGGACTCACTGATGAAGGCCGAACTGATGGAAAAACAGATCTCCTTCACCCATTGTCAACACAAAGGAGAAGAAGAGTACAAGGTTTGCACAATTTAAAGGTTCAAAATCAACAAAGAAAATCACCTACCTCCTGCAGCTGTAACAAGAGGCCATCAATGTATGAATTGTAGGTTTAACCCTTCTCTTGCATTTCGGGTCAAAAGTGACCGAATGACTTTTATTTTAATCATAAATATTGTGTTTTTCATCCAATTGCCTCAATACCTTATGTTATCCTCCACACTAGGCCTCTGAACATATACACTTGATGATCACCACTTGCATTGAATTGTGAGTGCTTTATTCAACAGTGAAACACCCTTGACGTTTTCGGTCAGATTTGACCACCATAGAAAATGAATGAGTATGAGTGTATTATGTTCATCCTGCAGATGGAAAACATATATATACACACACACACACAGGTTACGGGAACTTCTCCCTTTCTAACGCTGTATGATACAATGTATCATATACCTTCTCACAGGTGCAAGCTCTGTGCCCCTCGAGAAACACAAACCTCTCACTTTCTCGTGCTAAATGCGCCTCCCTTACTGGCTCTCAAGCAGTTATATTTGTGCCTTGCTCAAATTTGACTCATTGACACAATGAGCAGGCGACCGATTAGGCGATTTTCTGTACGAGGGGCTCTGGACACATTTTTGAACCAGATGAAGAGGAGATTGAACCAGATGAAGAGGAGATGGAGGAAGATGTCTCAGAAATGGAAGACAACAGCGATCCAGACTATGAGCCTACAACAGACCAGGAAGAGGCACCTGAGGGAGAGGAGGGAGAGGCCCCTGAGATAGAAGCCCCTGAGGGAGAGGAGCCTGAGATAGAGGCACCGGAGGGAGAGGCCCCTGAGATAGATTCCCCTGAGGGAGAGGAGGGAGAGGCCCCTGAGATAGATTCCCCTGAGGGAGAGGAGCCTGAGATAGAGGCCCCTGAGGGAGAGGCCCCTGAGATAGAGGCCCCTGAGGGAGAGGAGGGAGAGGCCCCTGAGATAGATTCCCCTGAGGGAGAGGAGCCTGAGATAGAGGCCCCTGAGGGAGAGGCCCCTGAAATAGAGGCCCCTGAGGGAGAGGCCCCTGAGATAGAGGCCCCTGAGGGAGAGGAGCCTGAGGTGACATTCCACAATTTTGCATTGCGAACTATGTGCGTGAACACACGTGAACACACACACACACACACATATGTTCTGTTATGGTATATTTCTCTTTCAATAAATGTTCATTGGGGAAAACAGTATCAGTGTCTTATTTTATATTCATCACAGTGAATGCTGAACTTGATGGGCCCACCGGTGGGTCCGGACCATGACATGAAACACTGGCTTGCTTGTATCAAATCAATACATCCCATACATCATTGGAACGGGAAGAATCTCAGCCACAACACTAACTAAATAATTTCCATCTCCAGTAAACACAGCCTACATGGTAAGCATTTTTATAATAGACAGTAATGTAAAATAAGCAATATCTTTGAACTTATTGCCAAAAAGGAATATCAAATTCACCCCTGGTGTCATTTTGTCTGTCATCCCTTGATTCTACTTGCTTTGACTGTTGAAATGAGATGTCAACCATCAAAATTGGATAAGGGGTTCTAGAGATATCACTGTGCAAAACACACCGGTCAATTTTGACCGAAAATAGCATGGGAAGCAATAGTATGACCTAACGCAAGAGAAGGGTTAAAATATTTTAATAACAAATATCTTAAAATATGTCGACCCATGTCACATAGATCCTAAAGGATGACCATGTAAGGTAAGTTTAAGGGAGACATGTACAGGGTCTGTTGGCCTTATGTGCTGCTATGGCAGACGACAATAAAAGGAGGTCTTTCCGTGACAGCTTGAAACAATGCAGAGAGAGAGCTGGATAAATGGTATGGAGTACGTGAGGTGTGATAAACATCTGGACATATGTTGGATCGAGTGTTTACAGAGCTGCTTTAGAGGGCAGCTCTGAGGATGTCTGTGACACGCCGAGTGTTTTAGAGAGATCAACACACACAGGTGCATGACGCTGCTGCGCACACACATGTACACGCATAATACACACAGAGGGGTTCTTTGGCTTTTAGGACTTTGTGTAATGCTTTTAATGCAGAGAATTTGTGTTTATGGAATGACTTCTGAAGTGGGAGTGCCTTGAATTGATGAATGGGTTTGCACTTTAGTCTGGGTTTGTTATGTTTAACAAGTGTACCTGCTAGCCTAGCCATTGTTGAGCCGGTTTTTAAAGAAAGCTCACAACCTTTACTTTTAAGATAACCTATTTTATATTTGTGTTACTGATCCTTAGCTTTTGCCCTGGTTATTTCTTAGAGCCAGTATGTAACTGAGCATGACTGCTATTTTATCCTGAAGTTTTTGAGGCTCTTCTTTTTTTAAACTCTTCTAAAGTTCTGCAATATTTCCCACAGTTGTTTTTGGATCTTTGGATTTTGTGGCACAGCGTGGAGAAACAGTGCTACTTTGGAACTGTAAATCCCACTGAGACAATGTATTTAAAATCGGGTAAAACAAATAAGCTTGACATGTAGGCCGCCGCCTACTGGCTTCTGGATGGGGGTTTATGCTTTAAAAAAATAAACAACACTTCAAACCCAAATGCTTCCTGTTGTTATATCGTTGGTGTCCCTGCATTATCCAAGACCATTTCCTTGTTAGAAAACTCTAATTGTTTAAGTGGTTTGTTGGTTTATGTGCATTCAGGGTGTGTTTGTGTAAAAGCTCAGCATATGGCTGTAAAACAGAGACAGGCCTGTAACTACACGTAGAAAGAAAACTCTTAAAACTATATTGCAATATAAACGTTCTGTTTGTCAGTATGAGTGCAGTTAGCACCTGTGGTTTACAGTTAGCAAGTGTATGGTGGGTGCAGTTTGGGTCATCCCGGCTGCCCAAATATTGTTTGTTTGATTTTTTCTAAACGTCGACATTTTTGTGTGTGTGTGCATACCGTGGTCAGAGTGCAGAACGAACACTGCCGCCACATGTTTGGATTTGCTCCAGCGCCTGTCATCGGCTGAGGACTACTGATGGGGACAAACACTGAATATTTGGACTCATTAAACACCACACTCTCCATTTATCAGCACAAACACACAAGAGAGATCCAAACCACCAGTTTAGAGCGTACCGTCTTTAATTCAAGGATCAAAAATATGACAATATACAGTACAAGATCTTGCTTAATCAATATTTGTTGCGTGAAAAATACAGTATTTCGGGTAACTTTGTTTTTAAAGCAGTGTGAATAATAAAACCTTCTCTGAGGCTTTTATCTCGTAGCCTGGTTCTGCACACAGAAAATAGTTAGCTGCTCGTTCAGTCTCTGACACATACAGTACAGTACAAATAAATAAGACACAGATCACACTACTTACTTAAATGCATACTTGACTCTAAACAACATGTGTGTACCTGAAACAAAATAGTCACATAAGGTTGAATACCTCATATTTCTAAAAAGTCAACGGTTCAATTAAGATTTAATCCTTAGATTAAATGATCGATAAACATTTACGTGTGGGGGAAACTGCACCTACATGTGAGCTTTGGCTTTTAACCTTAGGACATTTAAAAACTACCTGTAAGCATTCAAATATAGATACATTTGTCAATAACTCATCTCAGTCCTGCAAGGTTGAATTGCAAGCCCTCTAAATGTGTTCATATGATCCTTATCTCATAGCTTTATAATATTTCATCCAATTGTTTTCTTAAAGGGGTGTAAAGGAAAAGTAATATAGTTTATCTGAATCCCCAGATGAACCCCTGGAGGAACCAATGTATGCTCTTTTGATCCAATGTAGAAATACTAAAACTGCCTTAGTCATGACCATTTTAATGAACAACATTCAATGTTGCTGTTTGCCAGAAGTAGACAGGAGAAAATAGCATGCCATCAATTAAGAAACTATATTTTAGAGATGACTGAAGCATTCTTAGTAGAAATACAATAACATGAGAGAATCTCCTTCAAGTGGCCGAATCCTGAGTCTGTTCAAGATTGGGGATCCCCCCCTGTGTATTCCACTTCACAATACAAGTTATAATGGGCAGAATTGTATCAATCTGGTTATTATTATTGGGAACACATTTCCTCTAAGTCGAATTTTAGTTAAAGCAACAGTTCAACTTCAGATCCTCACGTAAATCAAATAACTGGTGAATTTGTATCTAAGCCAGCTAGTGAAGGGGCATGTCAAATAAGTCTCCCAAAGAAAAACAAGACCATAACATGACTCCACACAGCTTCTGCAGCACAATCCCTGTTTTTGTTTTATAGCCAAATGATTGCACTGCTGTTTCAAAAGTCTTAAATCCCATCGCTCTATATCTGCCACATTTCCTCATCTCACAGACGTCTGGTTGGCCTAAAGCAATCAGACGGAATTGTGTAGTAGTCACTCATGCTTTTTAAAGCTGGACACACAAAACGTCAGTCATGTTGCTTTTTGGTTACCATTTTTAGAAAATAGAGACACTTTGTCCTGCAAAGGCACAACAAAAACAGATTTCTGGTTCCTGTTTAACATTGATATTGGCTTTAAGTTGTTCATGCTACTGTGTAGTTTAGGAGAGTTATCATGTGGAAAATACACATCTGTATAAACTGTCTGTATTTGCTGTTCATGAAGTACCCACACGTGTATACTTTCTGGAAGCATGTGCATTTTCTACTGTTATAATATTAAACATTTAATTAACTAGGTGAATAAAACATACAGTTCTAACTCAGATTGTATTTGAAGTAAATAATGTCAAATACATGTTGTCTGGAGTAATTCTAATCCCAACCTTTATTTTTTGTAACCCTACAAAGTACTATTTTACTAACATAACATTTATTGGGCGACAGTTCACATAGAGCTGCAATACTCTGAATATTGTATAGATATAGATGTTTTCACAACACACTGTGTGACATACAAAGCTCACTGCCTGCATTTTAGAGGGAGCTTTAATGACTTTCACATGAGTGCATAAATGCTACATTGTTTCACCGCTTTTTCCTGAATCATGGGACTCCTGATCAAAGGTTGTGCATCGTGGATGGAAATGCATTAATTAGATAGCCTGCTGATTAAAGCGGAGTACAGTTCCTCGACAGGCGTCACTATGCTGGTCCGGGCAAAGTGAAGACAAAGAAGCAAAGCCAGCCTGTCTGCTGAGAACAATTGAGAGTGGCACTTCTCCAGATCCTACTTTCTTGTACCCACTCACCCTCCAGCTCTCTCCCTCTCTCACCCCTTCTCCTCGCTCAGAGTCAGTGATGTGCTGATATCTCTTGGCAGTGGATGGGGCGCTGCCTCAGTCTTCTGCCCTGTGGTGCTTCTTTATATCTCATAGTGCTTGTGTTTTCCTCCTTATTCGCTTCCCTCTACCCCCCCCCCCCATCCTGCATGCCTCTGTCTTCTCCTCCTCTCTCACTTCCTGTAGTTGCTGTTTTTAAATTAGAATTTAACCGTCAACACATCCCACCTCTGACCGAGTTTACTTCACCTTTGACCCTTTCACCTAATGCTCACTCGCAGTTGCATCCATCTTCTTTTTCACATTCCTCCCTAATTAGTCGTTGCATATACAAAATACTTGCCGATTGCTTTCAGTTAGCAACATTTCTCATCATGCCCGTTTTCTATTTATCTCTTATGCTTTTCCTCCTCTTTCTTCCCTGTCGTGTTCTTAAAATACCTTCGTCGACCTTGCTCTCTGCCCCTGTTTTCACATCTCCCCCCCTCCTTGCCTCTCTTTCTCCTTCCCGCGAGACCTGTCAGTGTCTCATGGTGTTCTGGCCAAACTTGTCGCCAAGTTGTTGGATGAGCAGAGCCAGCTCTCCGGCGGCGTCGGATTTCTCCTCCAGGAGCTCATAACGGAGGCTGGAAATGTCTTGTTTGATCTCCTTCAGCTCGCCTACAACACAGTCACACACGGACACAACAGTGTGAGCAAATACAGACCTGAACGCAAGTTGAAAAAAACATAGAACTGTGCTGTAGTTTCCACGTGTGAGCATATGCAGACATACACCACACAGAATACAATGATGTACAATAGACCTCACACACACACACAAACCCCTACCACCACCGAATAAAATAACAAAAACATATTTTTATATAACTTTGTTATTGTATTCGGGATTGTAGGCACCGGTATTTCAATCTCTCTGTCTGTACACACAAATTAAAAGATTCACAATAAAGTTGACTTTGACACTTGTCCCTCACGTCTGAAGCGCACACATGCCCTCAGCAAATAATGACACAATGTGAAAGGGCCTTAATGAAGAGCACATTTTACCTTCATTCACTTCGTCGTTCTCTCTGTCCACTTGAGCCTTCAGCACAAAGCGCTTAATCAGGCGCTTCATGATATTCTAAGCAGAGGAGAGGAAAAGAGAACATCATATATAGAGAGTAGGTGATGGGATGATGAAGAAACATGCCTAAGTACACACTCAAAAAGTCATGCAGACAGTGGTAGAGAACAGCTCTTTGTTGGAGACTCTGTGAAATGTGGAGTATTGATCTGTAGCCAAAATCTGTAGTTCCTCAAGCAGTCCATCTCCACATGTAGGCACGAGGATATAAGTCTGTACATTTCACTACAAATACAAACGTCTGATAAAGTGGCATCAGGATGCTTGGCGTGTGTGTGATCTTGTGTAATTGTCTGATGGATGTTGAAAAAAGAGGAACAGTGGACCAGTGAAGGAAGTTAGATTTCCCTGAGGGAAAAGGTGAAGGGCACCCTCAGGAGGAGAGCATGTCTTCCCTCCTCAGTGTGATACTTGGAGTGCTTGCTTTCCATCTCCCTCAAACAGCTCATTCGAGGCTTTTTCAGCCTTGCTACGTTGCTCTCTGTTTCTTTTTGCCTCTCCTTCACTCTTTATCATTTGTTTCCTTCCTTTCAGTTGATGTGGTTTGTCTACTCTTATAATATGATTTCCTCCCTTTTGTCTCTAGCTTAACTCCCTAACTCTCTCTTATCCTTACCTCTGTCTTCAATCTGAGTTTCTCCTAACCTCTTCCAACAATCAAATGTGCTTGCTTCATCTCTCCTCCTGTCATCCTTTTATCCTTTCATTTTTCTATTCTCCTCGTTAATTACTCAGACTTCCTGACTTCCTTCCTCCCAAACTTTGCTCACATATACTTCCATCCCTATTTTACCTCATATCTGGTCGGGTGTTTTCCAGATTTTCTGGAGATGAACTCTTCTCCGGGGCGGGGATAAGTCCTGAGGGGTTCATCCTGTTGCAAAGGGGAGATACAGACAAAAGTCTAGTCTCAATGTCACATTTCAGGGTTGAATTATGTTTTACAATGAAAGCATTTGAAAAGCGTATCAGAAAAGGCAACACATTGCCAAAACAAAACTACGGTGAAAAGACGCCACGAGTGTTTGTGTCTAGTGCTCACAGATGTCTTCAAAGAAAATCACTTGACAGGGTAAAACTCTGTTAACTCATTCATTTCTAAATGCCTTTCACGTCCATGACCTTGCTTTGTAGCTTGTGTGTCACTTCAGCGCTGCAGTGTCAAAATGAGTTTTAACTTAAGTGTGGTCACACGCAACCAGCTGCGACTAAAAATGCTCCAAAGCTGCTGAGGCATGACGCTATGTCAACTTAATAGCTGGATTATATGAAAGCTTTACAGTTTAAGCTAACACTAATTAGATAATTCTTAATATTAAAGCAACATAATTGTTTACAATTATGAATATACGACATACGGTATATATAAAAAACATTGAATGTGTTTGAACTTAATCAAAAACAGATTTGTTCTTAAATTTGACTGAAGTTTATGCTATACCATCTCTATCAACCCACACTATGTACAGAGAATCAGTAATGTGGAATATTTGTCATTTATAAGATTTCAAAGGTTTAATGTCATATACACAACTACAGTGACATTGTGTAATAAAAAACTTGGGTCACAGGTTTCTCAACAATGCAATATAAATATATACAAGACATAAAAAACAAACAAAAAAAAACCCCAATAAAAATAGTGCAAGCTCAGGAATCTGATGGCCTGTGGGATGAAACTGTCCCTGACTCTGGTGGGCTTTGTCCCGATGCTGCGATACCGCCTGCCAGACGGCAGCAGACAGCAGCAGACAGAACAATTTGTTGCTTGGGTCATGGGGGTCTTTTGTAATCCTGCGTGACTTCTTTCTGAGCTGCTGGGTGTAGAGGTTGATGGCAGCTCCGTCCTGGTGATGTGCTGTGCTGTTTTTACCACCATCTGTAGAGTCTTACGTTTGAGGGCGGTGCAACTGCCACACCAGGCCGTCATCGGTCAGGATACTCTGAAACTTCTACAGGTTGAGATGGAGGTTGTTATCCTGGCATCAAGATATCCGGGTTCTGACTTCCTCTCTGAACACCATCTTTTCGCCGTCAGTGGCCATGCAGTCGTGTGTGAACAGGCAGTAGAGGAGAGGGCTGAGCACACAGCCCTGAGGGGCTCCGGTGTTGAAGATCAGGGTGGAGGATGTGATGTTTCCCACCCACACTACTTAGGGTCTGCCCGAGAGGAAGTCCAGGATCCAATCACAGAGGGCGCTTCTGAAACCGAGGTCCCTGAGCTTGGTGACGAGCTTGGAGGGCACAATGGTGTTGAAAGCTGACCTGTAATCAATTAACAGCATTCTCACATATGTGACCCGCTCTATCGAAATCAGTCGGAAGTCGCAACGGCTCATTTCAAAATAAATGTGGATTTACGTAAAAAACTATTTTTTCGGGGTTCGGGTGTTTTGTTTGATTTTAAACAAACAAAGTCTTGGCTTTCAGAATATGAAACTTTTATTTCCAAAATCAAACGATAAATACATTTTTGAAGCTTGTAAAGGGACGAAGACAGGCACCTCTCACTCGCAATCTGCTCTTCCGCAGCGCCGCCCCCCCTCCCTCCGGCTGAAATTATGAATGTAAGAGTATAGTAATCATAGATAACACGGCAGGGTCCGTTACAGTTTGTTTTCATCTGATTTCAATTAAACAAAGTCTTGGCTTTCAGAATATTAAACTTGTTTCGGCCAATTCAGATGATAAATACAACTTTGAAGCTTGTGACGGCATAATTACAAGCGGAGAACGGAGTAACTTAACGTCACAGCAGGGATAACAACAGCCGGTGTTTCTCGTGACTGTTTTCCCCGGGAAACAAACACAATACACACAAACGCTAAATTACACAAACATAAACACACGCACACACACACTCACGAGCTTCCCCTCCAAACGAAAATATCTTCCCTCCGTAGTATTTTGATCATTTGCTCCACTAATAACCAATCAGATCGATGGATTCCAGAGAAGAGAAAACTTTGAAGGCCTTTTTCTCAAAATGATGACTCGGTGACAGTCATTATATAATGTGACATATTTTGCTTAATATTTGGAGTACAAAAACAATCCTGATATCATTAGAAAGCTAGGAATATCCTCTTTCCAACAGTGTATACAACTCAAAATGTGTCTTCGGGTCAATGCGACTGATTTCGATAGAGCAGGTCACATATGTGTTCCTCTGGTCCAAATGGGAGAGGGCAGTGTGGAGGGTGAGGGCGATATCTGTGGCCCTGTTTGCTCTGTAGGAAAACTGCGGGGGTCCAGAGAGTCAGGGAGGGAGGAGGTGAATGGAGTCACCTAAAGGACAGACCCTATTATTTGCTTTATTTACTCATATTTCTCATTTTGCAGGGAAACTCATCTTGTGCCCTCTGAAAGAACAAAATGAACAGAGAGCACATTCTGCGAGTACAAACTATTTACGACAAAGAGGGATTCAAATTAACAATTGTATCTAGTCACGGTTTATTATACCACACAACCAGATGGCAAGTACTGTTTCAACTTAATATACATTTTAGCAACACATCATTCATGCAAAAGTTCACCAAAGCCCAATCTACAAGCTTAAATGTCTTTGTGCGGCGCAAAGAATAAATGTAGTCACTCTCAATAAACTACTGCCTCCATTCAACTGAAATTCTATTCATTTGCTTTTGGCAAGATATTAACTACAGTAAAGGCATGAAAGACACATTCACTAAACTGCTTGAGCATGCCACTATTGCGTACAAGCAAAGACACACAGGTACATGCATACTTACTGGTTTCTGACACACACACACACACACACACACACACACACACACACACACACACACACACACACACACACACACACACACACACACACACACACACACACACACACACACACACACACACACACACACACACACACACACACACACACACACACACACACACACACACACACACCCACACACACACACACACACACACACACACACACACACACAGTAATATTAATTGAACAAACGTGAACTACTTATTTATTATCAAATCAACATACCAATGTTAATTAAAAACTATATAACCACAGGCTGAGTCAGATCCTCTTTCTATTTCACAAACTATGACTTGGTTATTTTTCTGAACATATGCTGCTTTGAAACTAAGAAAATTAGCTTTCATATTAGCTTTAATTAGATGTATTAATCTTCACAAACAGTGGGTATCCCACATGATAAATAAACATGGACCGAAACACTAGGAGGAAATAATTACTGATTTAGAAAGACCATGCTGTCTTCTCCAGATCTCTCTTGACATTCTCTTCGCTGCACTGTGAGCTTATGTATCGATTGCTCGCTGCACCTGCTTGGCTCTGCAGTTAAACTGTCAGAGCTGCAGAGAACTTCAGGAGCTCACAGAGGTAGTGGGGTGTAACCCATCTTGTCCCCATACGAAACCAGCCCAGGCTTTTGAGGAGACGCAGGCAGAGCCAATGGCCTGGCTAATAGCTCAGCCGAGGCGATGGAGCGAGCCATATGAGCCGGGGAATCAGACAGAGGAAATGCCTGCGGACAAGGCCAGTGCCAAGATTGATTCTGTGCTAAATGGCCTATGCTATTTTCTTCACGCAATACTTTCTTTTAATTAAAGGAATTTTATTCCGATGGACCATCCTTGAGAGTTACTGTAGGACGTGTGAACATGAAAGTTGCATGCAGTGGGAATGTCATTTATTTCCTGGGTCTTATCCTTTGCCCCTTTTCTAATTACAGCAGTTCTTTAACTGAATCATCAGAAAAATGATAACATTAAACTAGGAAAGAGCCTGCAAAAGAGGAATATCCCTCCTGGTAATCAGTATGCCAGTGTGCTGATTCTAACTTGCTTATTCTGTGTAAACTGTCACTTCATAATACCATTTTCCTGCTGACAATGTCATTTACTGAATGGAAGGCAAGAACTAAAAAGTAAAATGTTGTAATTAGCTTGTAATTATTGGCTCCCACCACACTTCCTCAGAAACGGAGGAATAGTTGACTCAAAGCACTTAGAGAGATAATAATAATGACATGAAGAAAAACACTATAATTAAGTTACCACAGCGACTTGATTTAGAAAATCATTAGTTATCACATTTTGGAATATGGTATCAACCCATCAGTTGTTCCCTGTCATATAATGATGTTAATCAACATATTATTGGGTTTCTTTCTGCAATCCGTCATGAGATGAGGAATCAAACTGTGGACTGACCTTAGCCTGGGAGTTGAGCATGCCCAGCTCCAGCTCGTTGTTATGGCGACGGCTGTTGGCCTTGCAGAGGTGTATCAGGCAGGACTTGATGCGAAGGACCATGTAGTAGAAAGACTTTGGGCTGGGAACCAGGTTGAAGGGAGCGGGCAGCGTTCGGCCCTCGTCAAAGTAGGAGATCCACAACTTTGCTCGGGCAAACTTCCACTCCACGTCAGCATCCTCCTGCAGAGACAGAGACAGGATTAGAAATGAGCAGGGCTTTTGAAGACTCACAGAAACACACCAGATTGTAGAAAAAGTTACCTATGTATTACTTCTAGTTGTTAGATGATTCAGTTTTGTTGTGAAAACCACCCAGTGTGGCTCCAGCTTTTATTTTGTATTCTGTGCCTTTTTTGGTTTTCAGTGTATTGATTCTGTAAGGATGGTGGTATTTCAACTCACTCTCTAATTCTCCTGCAGGCTCAGAGGTGATCATACAATGATTCGTATTGACTTGTTGACAACATCATACCCTTTCCGAATCGACTAACCATCTTATTTATGTACCTCTATCTCCTGGTAGGAGTTGTTGATCATAGCAATGAGCATGTTGAGAAGGACGACCACCATCGTCACATTGTAGACTCCGTACAGCACGTAGCCGATGTTCTCTATGAACTTGTGATCGTACTTCAGCACCACTGAGATCACTTCAGACAGCCCGAAAATCGACCAGAAAAGAGTCTTAAAACTCTCCTCCACCCTGCAACGTAAGAGAGAGAAAGATGTGGCAGAAACAACTTAGAACATGACAGTGAATAAATACACATAAAAGCCCACGTGTTAGCGGTTAATTGCTCTCTCAGTCAGACACATGAACATACACAAACACGAAAAGCCTTTTATTGTGGTGCAGTTTATGGGGTAGCACTGATGAAATAGCTGATGAGTCATGTCCAATTTGAACACATTATCCCTTTTATCCCGCTTACACACAAACACATAGAGACATGGTTGACTCGAAATCTGAAAAGATAGGAAATGACTCGACTTCAGCATTTAAGAGACCATTTGGTTTAAAGATGTTCATTAAGCATGTTGAACTAGAATGTCACCGCTGTTAATGGAAAAACAAAACATGTTGGTATTTCACTTAATTTATCCATGTAAACCTTAATGTCAATTGTGAAAAGTCCTTTTTGGGGGTAAAAGATGAATGGAGAAAGATTTCAACCCGTGAAACTCATTCATAAGACATTAAACATGTTGCACACATTCACATGTTTTTTTTCTTTTCCTCCTGACAATTACATATGAGAATAAAACTCAGAAAATGAAGTGTTCTCTCCCTGGAGGACTACAGTAAAGTCACTTCTCAGCCTGACACTGACCCAAGGTGAAACGGCATAAAGCTGGAAGACCTGTCAACATTGACATTCAGGTACATGTCTGCCTTTAAATATTCCATGAGTGGAAGGCATGGGCCTGAAATGACAGCGGGGCGGTCTCAGTAGGGAGGAAGAAGCCGCCTGGGTGGATTGCTTGAGGGGCTGGAGATGGAAGGAGGCTGTGGGGAGCGAACATCTATAGGCTCCTGGTCTGAGTTGGTGTGTGTCTTTCAGCTTAATTTCTTTCAAAGAGAAACAGCATTGGCAGGCAGAGAGCTGGGTGAAGGCGCAGCGAGAACCTCACATGCAAAAAAGACAAAACACACACTAGGTACAGACTCTCACCTCCTTACAAAAACACATGAAAACAGAAATTCTTCTTGGTACTTCAGCTTTAACCTTTCAGACATTAAGCCAAACACACTCTTTAACCTTTTAGACTAGAACTGTTTGTGTGTCAGCTGCAGAGCATCCAAAAATAGGCGGTGCCTTTATACACATGTACTTGAAAAATGCATTGCTTTCTAGAAAAATCATTCAACTACGCACACACAGTATGTAATTACTTCGATAATGAAAACCCATTAGCTGCCTTTTCTTCACACCAGATTTAGCATAGAACAACCTGATTCATTCTTGTTGCTCTTTAGAAACACTTGACTCCCTGCATCACGCTGGCCTTGCTTTACCTGCAGACAGTATTCTCTGTGCGTCCCTGAACTTCAGCTGAGTGGCATGATTAACGGTCTGTACGTACCATGTGTAACTGCTTTTAACCCTCGAACACCCCATTTTCCTATGAATTTCACACATACTCTTCCATGAAAAGAACATCTCCATGTTCTTCATTTAGAAACTCTGCTCACCTGATAATATGAAAGTATTAAAATAGCAAGATATTATGCCCACTTTGGATACATGAGGTTGTACACAGAGCTTTGAACATTTGCTGAATGTTGAACATACAAAAGGTTAACTTGATACTATAAATCAGTAACTATTTAGACCAGTGGTTCCCAGCCTTTTTCAACTCAGGGCCCACATTAGAATCTAAAAATGTTCGCGGCCCACATTCAACCATAAATAATACAGAGGGCGGAGGCTAAATAAAGTTTTGATTGGTCAATTCAGAATATGTGACACGTTGTTAATCCAGTAGAACAGACCGCTGTCAAGGACTGTAATGACCTTTGCTAAAGAGGTTCAAGAAAGAGAAAGGAAAAGAGGTTCAAATAAAAAAAATAATCTTAATAATTAAATGTTTCCACACAAATCATAATGTTTTGCAAATTATTTGGCGGTCCACTTGCCCACTAGGGGGCCACGGCCCACAGGTTGGGAACCGCTGATTTAGACTTTACCATCAGACTCAAAAGCCTTGAAACGTTATGTTCCCAATCATTGTCTTACTATGAGGGTCATGTACTGTATATTGAAACAACTCAACACTCAAACTCCCGACACCAAGATGAACGGCCCTCATCCGCATCCCTATTATCCCTGAACCCCCACTTTGCTGAAAGTAAGTACATGAGCCAGTTTTCCAGAGCAAGATATACAAAAAAAAAAATATATAAATAAGTATACAATGCTTGGTAGCATCAGAGCTATTATACATCCATGCATCAGAGGTGATACACGGACCACTATTGCGGTAAGCATGTTGTAACTTCCGGTTGTTGTCATCTCCGGGTATCCCGTGTGCCTGTTCTGTTGCTGATAGCTTATTATCTTAACTTAATCGATCGTTTTAAAACTCTTGATCACGGCAACTGCCTGACGTTGTAATCACACGTTACTATAACGTAAGCACTCACAACTCTCCTTCTCTTTGCGACTGTAACTCCACAGTTGCCTACACTCTTTTCGGGTTTGCTAACGGTAGCTACTTTAGCTTGATAGATAGCCATGGCTCTTTCCCCACCCTCGGGTGCTATTTCCTGCTCTAACTGTCTCATGTTTGGTTACTTCCCTACCTCCTTTACTGGTACCGGTACATGTGTTAAATGTAGTATAGTTGTTAGGTTGGAGGCGGGAATCATAGCCATAGAAGCCCGGCTCCGCATCTTAGAAAGTAACTCAGCTACAGTAAAGCCCATGTTAGCCGGTGCGGACCGGCAAAAGGTAGCTCCTATTAGCCGTCCCCCGGCAACTCCCGAGCAGCAGGGAGACTGGGTGACTGTTCAGAAGGGGCATAACGCGAAACCCGCAGGTCCCCACCAACCCGTTCACGTATCTAACAGATATTCCCCACTCAGCGAGACACCCGCTGAGAAGCCAACTCTGGTTATTGGTAGCTCTATTATGAGACACGTGAAATTAGAGACCGAAGCCTCCACAGTCACATGCACACCTTAAACTTTTTGATGTTAAACACGACCAAAACTGAAGTTATTGTACTCGGCCCGAAGAATCTACGAAACAAATTATCTAAAGATATACTAACTATGGATGGCATTAATTTGGCCTCCAGTGAGACTGTAAGGAATCTTGGTGTTATATTTGATCAGGATTTATCCTTTAACGCCCACATAAAATCAATTTCAAGGACCGCCTACTTCCATCTACGTAACATTGCAAAAATCAGGCATATCTTGCCTCAAAACGATGCAGAGAAACTAGTCCATGCATTTGTTACTTCAAGGCTGGATTATTGTAACTCTTTATTATCAGGGTGTACCAAGAAGTCAGTCAAGTCGCTTCAGCTGATTCAAAATGCTGCAGCTCGTGTACTACTAACCAGAGTTAGGAAAAGGGACCACATTACTCCTGTTCTGGCTGCCTTACACTGGCTCCCTATAGAACACAGGATAGAATTTAAAATTATTCTTCTCGCCTACAAAGCCCTTAATGGGCAGGCGCCATCTTACCTTAAAGAACTCATTATACCCTATACTGTCCTACTAGGGCATTGCGTTCCAAGAATGCAGGGTTGTTGGTTGTTCCTAGAGTCTCTAAAGTACAATGGGAGCCAGAGCCTTTTCTTATCAAGCTCCACATTTGTGGAATCAGCTTCCAGTTTGTGTTCGGGCGGCAGACACCCTATCCGTTTTTAAGAGTGCGCTTAAGACCTTCCTTTTTGATAAAGCTTATAGTTAGGGCTGATTAGATTCAGCCCCTAGTTTTGCTGATATAGGCTTAGTTTGTCCGGGGACATCTTACTTCTTCCTTCTCTCTGTCTATACCTGTGTACTCTCATGTTCCGATTAACCCAGCTTCCCCAAATGTCTTTCTTTTTGGTGTCTATATACGCCGGGATCCGGAGTCATGGATGATCCTGCGCTCCTCTGTCCTGGATCGCGAGCCCTGGATCTTGAGTCGTGGCTGTGGTCCTGGATCATAGGTCCTGGATGGATATCCTCGTGGATTCATCTTCCTATTATACACACATGCATTTCCAAACATTTGGACTACCTATGTTGCAAATGTATTATCTTTTCAAATTTACACACGGCATCTATTGCACGTCTGTCCGTCCTGGGAGAGGGATCCCTCCTCTGTTGCTCTCCCTGAGGTTTCTCCCATTTTTCCCTTTAAACTGTGGGTTTTCTCCGGAAGTTTTTCCTTGTACGATGTGAGGGTCTAAGGACAGAGGGTGTCGTATTGTCATACTGATATTTTGTACAAACTGTAAAGTCCACTGAGACAAATGTAACATTTGTGATATTGGGCTATATAAATAAACATTGATGATTGAAGTACAACAAGGCATTCAATTAACTGCTCCAACAAGTGTTTTAAACTGATATTTTTAACATTTTTTTCCCGAACTAGAATGACAGTTGTTAAGAAACCACCTCATCATGTTAAAATGGATGCAGAGGCATGCACATTGTGACATTCAACACTGGAGGCTTGTGTCAACAGGAACAAATTCACAAGTGTTAATAGTAGTTCTTCTTTTTGTTGGTCTTAAAAATGGCCCGTGACATTGCTGAGAAACTAGCAGCGACCAAAAGCTGATATCAACAATACCGTTTCCTCACTCACTATTCATATCACACACATCCAGCAGCCTGTCATGCAATCAGGAGAGCTGAGGGAGGGGGTTTTGGTTGCCTTGCCTTGAAAAGCTGTTATTTTGAGCCTTCCCTTCTTAAATAATGTCTTGTCTCTTATCTGAAGCCTCTCTTAAAAGATAACGTTGATTTCCTGTGGCTTTGAAAAATGAAACAAAACAAAAAGGGGGGAAATTATCTGGTCTCTATTACCCTCTATCCAAATTATCTTTTAAATCAAATCATTCTGTCTCTCAGCTCTCCTTCCTACCCGTATGAGTGCTCACCCAATTTACATTGGTGAGAGTAGATAATGATGGAGGGCTTGGTTCCAGGCAACATTAATGTTCCATTAAACCAGACACTGGCAGGGACCA